GCTGAGTGCTTAAAGCACACATTCATTAGTTACTCCCAGGCCTACATAGAGGCAACAGTCACACTTGATGGAAAATTGTGGTCAGACAAGTGAGCCACAACTCTCTGCGCTTTAACGCTGAACAACATATACAAACTCAACAGATTTGAACGAAGACTTTGAAAAAGCTGCTGTGGCGCCCGCTGTTTTTCTGTCCACAACCCCAGTACGATGACAAAAGCACACCGGTTGAGACGTCAGCTGATCACGTTGCAGCAGTGTAACTGTTCTAATTGAGTTCAAGCCTAAAGACACCTGAAATATAATGTATTTCATGCTAACTTTCCTTAGGCAGCTTAACGCATGCCCTGCGCAAGGCGCCACAATCAAAACAGACAGAAGACCTTAAGCGGGCATACAGGGATTAAGAAAGGTGGGATAACCAACCTCCGAGTGGTACGTGGATCTTGACCTGACGTTAAAGCACATGGCAAGAGCAGGTCTTGCTTTTTCTAATGTTGCTCAAAGGAGCTCAGTGTTGATGTTTCTAATGTTGTTCAGCACACCGCAGTTCAAATAGTGCAAAACATTGGTCTGAAAAAGGTGCTAGTTTGAGAGCTGTGCTTGTGTGTTGTGTTCAGGGTTGAAGCTCCAAAGCTCTGAAACACCCAGAAGTGGCACATGGCAATAACATTACCAAGGCCAAGCACAGCTGAGGGGCAGAACTGAAGGGTTCTGAGGGCGGCACTTACCTATGTCACCACTGAAGAGATGCTGCTTTTTCTGTCAGACGACAAATAAAATCGTTGGTGGGGGAGAGAAATAGAGAGGAATTAGAGAGATACAACAGCACTGGAGGTGAAGAGCAGAGTCTGCTCTCCTCCTCCTCCTCCCCCGTTTAAAATCTCCTCTCCACTTCAAAAGTAGAGGGTGAAAGTCCTTGGATGGGAGGACACAAAGTGTCTCTTCGCCAGACACTGTCATGCTAGAAGAACAATCGTGCTTTATTAATCTCCAAAGAATGGAGTTCTATCAGGTAGACAAGAAAACATACGGAAACCAAATAGAGTAACATGTTCTACAAGTTACATTGTTTCAAACTGATTTTTTTTTTTACTTTTAATGCTTATCTGTCTTTTACAGGTCAAACGCAGCACTGAGCCAGGTCAAAGACAGACTATGGACATGAAGCAAATTTGTTATGTTTCTGAGGGTCTCTTATGCTCACCAAGGCAGCTTTAAAAAAAAAAAAAAAACAGTATAAACAGTAATACTGTGAAATATGATCACAATTAAAAATAACTTTTCTATTTTAATATATTTTAAAATTGTATTTGTTCTCGTCTTCAGTGTCAAATGTTCCTTCAAAATCGTTCTTATATGTTGATTTGTTAAACATTATAATGTTGATAAAAGATTTTTTGTGTGTAAACAGTGATATTTTTCAGGATTCTCTGATAAATAGAAAGTTAAAATACCAGTGTTTTTTTTCGAAACAGGAATCTTTTGTAAAATTATAAATATCTTTACTGCCACTTTTGATTAATTTAATGCATCCTTGTTGAATAAAACCATTCATTTCCTTCAATAAATAAGTAAACCAAACAAACTTACTGCCCCCAAACTTCTAGCCACTTTAGGAAAATACATAAGTCTATACAAGGTCTGCAATGAATGTGTGATGACCACGTAACTATTTCCCTTAATTAATACGTCATACTCTCATTGTCATGTAATAATTTTGGTTTCAGATTGCACATGATACTGCAAATACTCTTAACCCTCAAACACATCAGGGGTAGAGATTAATACCATTTAGTATTAATCTTTTAGAGACTAACTATTAAAGGCATGAGAATGAGAAATATGTCATACAATCAGCAAAATGTGAGGATTCCCGCACTTCTCCAACACTATGCCAACTACCGTTGGTCACAGTGTGATCGCCGCTTTATCGGCTCATTTTGCTGGAAAATCTATATTCTAACAGATGACTGATGTAGCTGACTACAATACGCAAAAAAGGGGGGATTCCTTTGAATAAAATCTATAGCCCGTCAGACAGACAGTTTGCAGCACTCTGTCAAACTGAGCTTCATGGCATAACGGAGTTATATGGGTGATACAGGTGGGTGGGTGAAATCATTCAACCACTAACTACATCAAAACAATTACAATCAGTTTTAGGTAGAGTACAAATGACCAAAATTCATTACACCCTATATAGCACTGGAACGATAGCACAGTGCACTACCTAGTTGGACCAAACACTTGCATATGCTGATGTAAAAATGTCAGTTGCGTTATTGAATTGAGACAATAAAGTGATTAGAAATAAAGTTGCAATGAAACAGAACTTGCAACAGATCTTTTCTTAAATGTTGTGTGACATAAATCTGAGTGTTATGGATCATCAAAAAAACAAAACAAATAAAAGGTAACGACTTGGTTCTATGCATTGTTTGTTAATTGGATTTTGAAATGTGGGCACTCAACAATGGAGGCAGATGAATGCATGTTTGCAAGAGTAGAGTTTAAGTGGACAAAATGGAAAAGTTCTACATATGTCACAAGAGAGAATTCTGTAATTTATCCAGCAAATTAGTTAAATTTTATTAAACTAAACGGTGTAATGTTTTTTTCTTCAATAAAATAAAAAAATGGTTAATTTTAATTAAAATTTACTAGTTAAAAAACATGCATGGATGCATGTTATTCGATCTCATTGCAAACATGCATTTACAAATTTGATAGGGTGAATTTTCACAAATTGTTATTTTTAAACACCAATCAACTAATAGACATTTTCATGGACCATCAGCAGTCTGAGTGTCCACTGTTTGAGAACTACTACAGGTCTGCAAATGGTCTACATCCACATGGTAGGGTACGGACAATGTTGATGGAGTGGCTCTGATATGATGTGGTGCTATTAGGGCTCACCTTCCCACCGGCCCTGCCCTTCTTATTAGGATTTGGGTGAGCTTCCATGCTGTAAAAGACAACACATATTACATTATTTTGATCATTGCTGGAATTAAAAAATATATTCAAAGGTGAATAGGAGAAACTTGTTTGTAACTAATATGCACAGTTTTGGCTGTAAGAGAAAGTAAATGATGGCGGCTGTGGCTCGTAACAAAGATCACGCGCTCTCGTCCCGCATCATGCGCAGCTACATTTAAACTCGCTGTAACATAAAGCGCGGTTTCTCTGTTCACTACAACGCAGCTATTTAAAGCTTTGTTAAATCATTTAGCTGTTCGCTTTTGTTTTACTAACCTTGTGCTGAGCAAAAGCTTGTTTGGTTTTGAAAATAGAAACGCGACAAGAAACTGGGCCGAAATAATATAGTAAAGACCCTAGTCCGCTTCCGCCTATTTCCGGATAAATAAATAAAAGTCCTAATTATATTTATGTACGTATACTAATTCGTTTTTTTTTTTTTTATAATTTACTCATACATTAAATTATATTAAATCATTGCTGTCGTTGATATCGTCTACTATTACATAAGTATGAAATTATTGGAGTTTATTAAAACTACTGGGACACATAAGTAAAGAGAACTGGAATGGAACCACAACCAAAACCTTTATTCTGAAGCGAGCTTTATTCGACTCCCGACAAAGACTTGATTTGGGACTAATTTGCAGTATCTATATAGACGTTTAAATTAATATAAAATATATTATAAGTGCTTAGATGTCTGTATTTATTTAGCAAACATTGAAATAAAAATGCTGCTGTGTTAAATGTAATCAGGCATCTGTTTAGCCAGAGTATTTTCTCAACAGAGGTTGATGGACCCCTAATGACTCAACAGCAGCACGAGTGATTATTTGGGGTCAGTGAAATAAATGTATCTTTAGTCTTAGTTTTATTGTGGTATTTGTTTTTAAGCTGAGTAAATGAGTAAATTATGTGCAATGGGGTTAATCGCTGATAATTATGGCTGCGTACAGCCACGCTTATGCATACGTGCAAAAGTCAAATGTCATGCATACGTTATCAAACGTGCACATGTGTT